CATTATTGTTATTGTTATAATTAATGCATTTTCCATTCTAATATGTGGAGTGCCTACTTTGTGCTAGATACAGTTTTTGGTGCTGAGAATACAAAACCCCTGCTCTTAGGAAGCTTACATTCTAACGGGAGAAAATGAACACATAAGCATAAAGATAGATGACGTAATGTTAAGTAGCGATAACTGCTATTAAGAAAGATAAAACTTGGTAAAATGATAGCCACGGGTGGTGGGTGAAGTAGTAATCATTTTAGACGGAATGGTTAAGACCCCTCTGAAGAGGTGATATCTGAGCAAAGAAGCTGCATGCCCCTTCATCGTACACAAGGATCTAAGCACTACTGGTTACGTGGGGGCCCCTGTAAACTCAGCTCGCCTCACGGTGGCTCAGAGCCACCTTCCCCACAGTGCATGATTGTAGAAAATTAGGGTCAGAAGTGATCTGTGGGTACGTTATACCAGACCTTCTATTTTCTTATTATTAATCTTATTAAACACAGTATGCAGCACATTTTCATATATATCACACCATGTAATCATCACAAAGAGCCCTGGTGGTGCAGTGGTTAAGAGTTCCACTGCTAACCAAAAGGTCGGCAGTTTGAATCCACCAGCCGCTCCTTGGAAACCCTATGGGGCAGTTCTGCTCTGTCCTATATGATCACTGTGAGTTGGAATCAACTCAATGGCAATGGGTTAATCATCACAATACTTACGGAACATTGTCTCCATTTTTGAGCTGAAGAAACTGACTTAGACAAATGAAGTGATTTTCCGGAGATTCTGTTACTCCATAAGAGCAGTGAAAGGAGAAGAAATCATCTTTTGTGTTTCCCAGTGCAGTGCTCATCCTGCTTCCTTCTGCAGCCTAGCTCTGGAATGCATCTAATTGGTGTTCACACTGAACATATTTTATCACAAAGCCTTTTATAATCTCCTTCCTCAGCCTTTGCTGTTTTCATTAACAGGAGTTAAAGACAATAGGAGGGTTTGCCCAGCTGTGTACTTCTGCTTAATTCCCACTCATTGGAGGGCTGAAATAGCTCTTGCTCAGGAGTCCGATGGAAATGTGAGCGGTGATACAAATTAGAACTCCAGGTGCTCCAGAACAAACGGAAGGTGAAATGGTCCAAAGGACGTGAGTCCACGGACAGCATTTGCTTTGGCATGGAGCATACCTCCAGGCTGTAGGCCACTGGGACCATGGTCATTGAGACACATTAGGAGAAGGAACGACTCTGGAGCGTGGGGAATGGGTACAGCACTCTTAGATGCTGCCATACATTAAGCAGTGCTGCCACTGTTCGGAGGATGTTTGCGAGCTCCATTCTGGAACTGCTCTCAGGGCCAATTTATATGCCAAAATGAAAAGCAAACAAACCCAAAACACCACAAATCACCTTGGTTTTGATCCAAAACAGCATCCTTCACCACCATTGTATTCACCAGACTTAAATTTCCAAAAATCAAATTCCATGTCTAATAATCAAACTTTGACATCACGGGCGATACTTCAAAGAATATGCATGATAACATCAAATGCTGGTGAAGATGCAGAGAAACGGTATCACTCATGTTCTGTTGATGGGAATGCAAAATGGTGTAGCCACTCTAGAATAGAATATGCCAGTTTCTTACAAAACTAAACATGTACTTACCATACAACCCAGCATTTGCACTCTTGGGTTTTTATCCAAGAGAGTTGAAAACTTATGTTCATATAAAAATCTACACATTAATGCACACTGCAGCTTTATTCATAATAGCCAAAAACTGAGAAAAACTCAAATGTCTTTCAACAGGTGAACAGTTAAGCAACGAAGTACATCCATACCATGGAACAATACTTAGCAATAAAAAGGAACCAAGTATTGACAGAGGCAACAGTTTTGGATTTTCCAGGCTATTATGCTGAGTGAAGAAAGTCAGTATCGAACGTTATACAGTATACAATTCCATTTACATACATTCTCAAAATGACAAGATAGTAAGATAAAGATCAGATTAGTGGTTGGCAGGGGTTAGGAATATGGAGGTGAGGAGAGAATTGATTGTGGCTATAATGGGGAGGGGCCTTGGTGGTGCAGTGGTTAAGAGCTCGACTGCTAATCAAAAGGTCGGCAGTTCAAAACCACCAGCTACTCCTTGGAAACCCTATGGGGGCACTTCTACTCTGTCCTATAGGGTCACTGAGTCAGAATCAACTCGATGGCATTGGTTTTTTTTTTTTTTTTTTTAAATAAAAGGGTAGTTTAAGGAAGCCTTGTGATGAAACTGTTCTATATCTTGACTGTGGTGGTGGTTACATGAATCTACACGTGATAAAATAGCGCAGAACTAAATATACGCTCACGAGTGCATGTAAAACTGGTGAAATCTGAATAAAGCAGGAGCCCTGGGTGGCGAAAGTGGTTAAGTGCTGAACTACTAACTGAAAGGCTGGCAGTTCAAGCTCACCCAGAGACGCCTGCTCTGCCCGGGTTCCAAAAGAGGCAGCGTGCTTCTGAAAGGTCACAGCTTGGAAAACCCCGTGCAGCAGTTCTACTCCGCACACTTGGGGTCCCTGTGAGTTGGAATTGACTCACTAAAACTGACAACAACAACAACAACGGGTGAACCGTATCAATGTCAATCTCCTCTTGTACTATAGTTATGCAAGATGTCACCACTGGGGGAAACTGAAGGGTGTACAGGATCTCTCTGTACTGTTTATTACAATTGCATGTAAATTTACAACTATCTCAAGGTAAAAAGATAAAAAAAAGAAAAGGATATGTAATAATTTATTGGATAACAAAAACAGAATTCATGAAACATTTTGAATAATGGCAGCAAAATAAAAATAAATAGATTCCAGGATGAATTTGTGGAGGATGCTTTAATTGGGATGTGTTAAAATATCAACAATTACTTCATTGCAAGTTTTCCTTTCATATGTGTGTGTGTGTGTATGTATGTATAATCCAGATTTATTTAACATGGATAGGTGGCATGCTTTTCTGGATGGCATATCTTATAGAGTATTTGAACAAAGGTGGGAAGTTGGGGGCAGCAGTCTGACAGTCCCTCCCTTAGCTCCTGATGCCCAGGCAGGGCCGAGCTCTATGCTCTGAGCTCACCTCTAGCTCAGCACTTGCCACACAACATCGACATTTTCTGTAAATGTCATTCTTGCCAAATGGACTACTGACCTGGACTGTGTCTTATACATCTCTGTTCCCCCCGTGACTGGCATATCTCCTGGAAAATACACATGCATGCATGCACATACACACACACACACACACTCATTTGTTGGCTGGGAAAATGTGGTTATTGTTCAAAATGTGGAAATCTTAATAAACCAAACCAAAACCTGCTGCTGTTGAGTCGATTCCGACTCATAGCGACCCTTTAGGACAGAGTAGAACTGTCCCATAGGGTTTCCAAGAAGCAGCTGGTGGATTCGAACTGCCAACCTTTTGGTTAGCCGCCGAGTTCTTAACCAGTGTGCCACCACGACTCCGGAAATCTGAATAGTGATGTTTAATTTGTACAAAGATGGCGACCGCAAAAAGCAATGCCATTCTGCGCTCAAGCAGTAAAGTGGTACAGTCTAGGCAATACCTCCTGGAGGCTTTATGGTTCTTTGTGTGCCTTCAAGACTTTATTCTTTAAAAAGACTGGCTACTGATTTTAATATTCAACACACGTCTGTAAGAAGAAATAATTACTGACTTGGCGGTAGCGTAACAATTATAAAACAAAATCTATCACAAACTAATACACAGAATGCACTCCAGAGCCACAAATGGTGTTTTATCTGAAGCAGTGTTCTCCTTTGCTACTTCAGTACCCAAATCTTGACGCCGGAAACCTGAACCGCTCTTTAAGCGCCCACTCCAAATGTTACCTCCAAAGTGAATTCCTCCTTAATTCCTCCAGTAAAAGCCTCTGGGGGCCCACGGCACAGAGTTCATATTGATGTCTATTATGTATCACAGCCTGTCCTATACTACGGTTAGACATTTACGCTACTGGTCTCCCCTAGAGATGACGAGTCCTTGAGGCCAGGCCCCCTGACCTACTCACCCTGGTCTCCCTAGAGTGTGGCAGGATGCAGCAGGTGCTTAATAAATATCTGCCGAGTTAAACTCAATTGGTAGAGCTGACTAAGACAGAAAAGACGACACAGAGGATATGGACTTCTTTCTCACAGACACACAAATACACAAACGGAAGTATTATTATTTTCATATTTCTAAACACTCATAACAATGTTATGCTCCCACAGTCGCGTTTAGAAAACACGGCTTCTTAAATTTACCGAGGTTTCAATTATTTCGGCAAACAGGTCTAACAGTATTCTCAGGAGGGTCTCTTGGTGCTTACCAGGTAGCTGCCTGGTAGATGGATCCCGTAAAATCTTCTATCACAACACTTACACAGCATCTGGCCAGAGAGCACATAATGAAGGGGTTTCACATCTCTCAGTCCCTTGATACTCAACATGACAGACGGGGGGAAATAGAGAATGAAGACATGGAGTACTTTGAGATATGCCATGAGCAAGCACACGGTGTATTCATATTTACTTCACAGAAAAAAGAAATTATAAGCCTTCAACCTGAACATGAATAAAAAAATTCATGTGTAAGATTTCTGAATGAAAGTATATTTTTGAAGTTAAAAAGCAATATAAAAATTAAATGCTATACAGCGACTGACTTGTTTTAGTATTATGTCGGGTAACTGTGTGCAATGCTGACTTTAGATGAAAAAGAAAAAGAACAGGACGCAGGCTCTCCAACAACATCTAGGGTAGGATTTCCATAAATGTTTCTAATCTAGAGAACAACTGGGACTGGGGGGGGGAATCAATTTGTACCATTTTTTTTAAAGGAAAGAAGTTTTTAAAAAGTGTATAATGTAGCTTCTGCAATATAAAATTTTGTACAAAACTCGAGTACCCGTCTAACCTTCAGGCTTGTTCTAGGCGTATAAAATATGCAGAATCCTACCAGGCCATGTTGCCATGGGCTGTGTTGTCAAGGTGACAGAGTAGCTCCAGGGTCTGCGTGGTGCTTGATGAATCATCAGGGGATTCAGGACTGCCTGATTCCAATTCCTTCGGCATCCTCCACACAGCGGCACACGTCAGGACTTTACTGTCTGAAGCTAAGCAACAGAGGATAATGTCAACAGAGCATGGTACGCGGCCCGCATTCTGTATACAGCGCATCAACATTTACACAAAATCCATCAGCAGGGCACATCTGCTCTTTCAAATATTTAAAATTGCAGGCAGCGGAGAGACAAGGCACAGACCCGGGGTCATCAAGCAGAACCAGGCACAGCTTCGTAATTAGCATACATTTAACCCACTTTTCCCTTGTTTTCAAACTACCATTCTGTTTCATAAGAAAAGTTAATTTCCTCAAAATCCATTTTCTTCTGTTCTTCTTCAACAGTTCTTCAAAAAAGGGTGCAAAATGGAGGGCTGGAGATATAATCACCAAGTACGCGGTGCTTTCTTTCTAAGATTGACATTAAGTGGATTTTTTTTTCTTCTCATTGCTTTATTAGATCCTCTTACACAGACATTCAGTACACTGAGAAATACTCCCCATGAAAATGCTGTCATTAGTATTACTGTACCTCAGTTTACCTAAGGTGGTAAGTGTTTGGGAACCAGAAGGTAAAAGCGTTCAGAGGAGCAACAAGCCGAAGCCCCTAGGGTTTTATCGGCCACCTACGCCCCGGCACACCAGGCAGAGAACAGCCCAGTGCCTGGTGTCCTCACTCTCTGTTACCTAACCAGCCAAGTCAACAATGTATCTTCCCTTGTAACAACAGGGTCCATCCATATATGTTCCTAGGGTTGGCTAGTCAGCATCCCGCCTTTCTCTCAGAGACCTGACATTCCTTATTTTCATGATGCTCCAGGAGTCTGTGCATTCTTTGAGCACTTTAAAAAGCTACTGTGTGGATTAAGACACTTAAGTCCTATGAGAAAGCCTGGTGTCACTTGTTTTCAGGGAATATGCTAGGCTATAGGTCTGTGCCTCTCTAGAAAATATACTTAATATAAAAATTTTTTTAGAAAAATCAGATTCAACACTATGGGACAAAAATTTAATCATAAATTCCTAAATATATATCCTTTCAAAATTTGCTTTCCATTCAATGCTAAACTGTATATGTGCTAAACACTGTACCCTTTACAGATGACCTTTAATAAATGATAGTAAAACAATAGACAAGCTTCAACATTAAATCATTAATTGGTAGCAAATGCAGAATTACATTAGAACAAGAACACTTTCATAAGCAGTATTTCCTATGTAATAACTGCGAAAAAAATGGCATTATAAAAATGAGAAGGACCTATATTACATTAAAAAAATTTACCACTTCTTAGTAGCTACAATGATCCTTCAACCTAAATACCAACTAATCATCCTAGAAATACAGCAGTGAACACAGTGGACAAAATCTCTAGCTTCATGGATATTATTATTATCACTATTATTACCAATGATCAAATAAATAATAGATGGAAGGATCAATATTTCAACCCAGATTTTCTGATGTCAAATGTAGTGCTCATTTCATATACCTTGCTGGGTCTGAAGGAATTGTGGCTTAAAGAAAAAGAATAAGATAGATAGGTAGATAACGGATGGATGGATGGATAGATGATAGATATATCTATAGATATATATGTATGTAAAAATCAATCATATATCTATAGATTAGCAGCAAAAACTTAATACAAAATTTGAAAAATGATATTTATAATAACATTTAAAAATCAAACACCTAGGAATAACTCTAAAGATACATGAGTCTGTATATGATAAAATTAAAAACACTGCTGAGAAAAATTAAAGGTCGAAATAAATGGAGGGATACACCATGTTCATGGATTGGATGATTCGATATTATAAAGAGTCCATGAATCCCAATCAAAGTTCCAAAAACCAAATCAAACTTGTTGCCATCAAGTTGATTCCAACTCACAGCGACACTGAAGGAGAGTGGAACTGCCCTATAGGGTCTCCAAGGCTGTAATCTTTACAGAAGCAGCCGCCATATCTTTCTCCTGCAGAGTGGCTGGTGGGTTCAAATTGCTGACCTTCAGGTGAACAGTCAGTGCTTAACTACTGAGCAACCAGGGCTCCTATCAACTTCCAGGAGGCTTTTTTATTCTTTTAATAGTAATCAACAAGCTGCTTCTAAAGTCTTAAGCTTCATATAGAAATGCAAACAGTCCAGATAGCCAAGAGTCATAAAGAAGATAAAACTGGATGATTTACACTACTAGATATCTGTTTAGTTTTATAAACTACAAAGGTAGGTAAGTAGCCCAGAGAGAGAAAAACTGTTGCTATCAAGTTGATTCTGACTCATAGCAACCCTACAGGGCAGAGTAAAACTATCCCATAGGGTATCCAAAGAGCAGCTGGTGGATTTGAACTGCCGACCTTTTGGTTAGCAGCCAAGCTGTTAACCACTGTGCCACCAGTGCTCCATTAGAGAGAGAACGGAGTCCAAAAATAGACTCTTACTAAAATGGTCAGCTGCTTTACAACAAAAATGCCATGTCATATAGTGGACAAAGGTGGTCTTCTCAGTAAATGATGTTGGATCAATTGGATATCCGTGAATCTTGAATCCTACCTCACAACATACTTAAAAATCAATTCCAGACAGACCAAAGATCTAAATATGAAATTCTTTTCTAGAATAATACAACTATTTTCCAGAATACACAGTAGAAGATCCTCATAACCTTCAAATAGGGAAAGAATTCTTAAATAGGGCAGAAAAAAGCACTAATCTTAAAAGACTGATAAATTAGACTACTTTAAAATTAAAATTTCCATTCACCAAAACACACAATTAATTGGACTTCATCAAAATTAAAAACTTCTGCTCTTGGAAAGACACTGTTAAAAAATGAAACAAAACTTAAAGAAAATATTCATGAAAAATATAACTGACTATGGGATTGTATCTAGAATATATAACCAATTCTTACAACTTGGTAAGACAAAACACTCAAGTTTTAAAAATGAGCAGAAGATTAGATCAGACACTTTACGAAAGTACATAAATGGTAATCAATCACATGAAAAGATGTTCAACATCATTACTAAGAGAAAAAATGCAAAATAAAACCATAATAAGATACACTATACACCAATTAAAATGACTAAAATTTTTAAAAGACCAACAACACCACGCGTTGGCAAAGATGTAGAGTAACTGGAACTCTCATACATTGCTGGAAAGACTAAAATAGTACAAATACTTTGGCAGTTGAAATATTCACTTACGGATGACCATTTCACTTTTAGGAGAGACTGTCACAAGGTTTGGCTTGTTAGTAATAAGCTTTGTGACAGCCCCCTACTTCCAACAGTTAAATGTGGCCCAAAATAATACAGGCCTGGTGATGGTTGTTAACCGCCAGAAGTTGAACCAAAACAACAAACCCACTGTCACTGAGTCAATTCCAACTCCATTTATGTAGATCTCTTTTGGTTTCTTGCAACAGTGGTTTGTAATTTTCTTTATATAGGTCTTTTACATCCCTGGATAGATTCATTCCTAAGTATTTTTTCTTTTTAGGGGCTATTATAAGTGGCATTGTTTTCCCGATTTCTTTTTTGAAGTTCTTGTTGTTGGTGTATAGGAAACCAACTGATTTTTGTATGTTTATCTTGTATACTGCTACTCTGCTGAATCTTTCTATTAGTTCCAGTAGTTTTCTCGTGGAGTCTTTAGGGTTTTCTATGTATAGCATCATATCATCTGCAAACAGGGACAGTTTATAACTTCTTCATTACCAATTTGGATGCCCTTTATTTCTTTTTCTTGCCTTACTGCTCTAGCTAGCACTTCCAGCACAATGTTAAACAGGAGCGGTGATAAAGGGCACCCTTGTCTTGTTCCCATTCTCAGGAGGAATGCTTTCAGCCTCTCTTCATTGACAATGATGTTGGCTGTTGGTTTTGTATAGATGCCCTTTATTATGTTGAGGAATTTCTATTCCTATTTTATTGAGAGTTTTTATCAGAAATGTGTGTTGGACTTTATCAAATGTCTTTTCTGCATCAATTGAGATGATCATGTGATTTTTTTCTTTTGTTCTATTTATGTGGTAGATTACATTGATGATTTTCTAATGTTGAACCATCCTTGCATCCCTGGTATGAATTAAATAACTGAATGAAGAATTTCCAGTGTACAAAAAACGACGAAGCTATCAAACACTATTGGGGATATGTTAAAAGAGCTGAGGAGCCAAAAAGAGGCTCCCACTGGCAAGACAGATTGGAACAAACAATAATTACGACAGAAACATAAATGAGGTTAACAATGTATGAGTTCATAATAATACAAAAAGAAAATCTCACTAGATACCTTTGCAAAATGTTACTGAACCAATATATTTTTCTATAAGCTGGTAAATGAGACAAAATTTTAAACGAATTTCTAGTGTATGGAAATTTATTTAGATTTTCAGAAAGATTATAAAACTTTCCAGAACTCAATCTAAAAATGGGATAGGTACGTGAATCCAAGGTTCCTTAATGAAAAATGTAAATGACAGAAATCGTTCTGAAGAAAACCAGAAAGTCACAGAGAGCTATCTGTATTTAGTAGGCATCTGCCAACATCACTGATCCTAGAAATACACAAAGCTTCAAATTTTGTTGATTCAAGAATGTACTTTAGGTTCAAGGAATACAGTAGGTATTATCAGAAACTCTCCAAACCCTCAGAAGCACATGAAATTGAAGGCAAACAGTACTACACAAGAAACACTGGAAGCAGTATACCCATAGATATATACAAATTGGTTCCGAAACTCTTCGGATTTCTGTATCTGTGTAAATCTCAACAGACCATTCAATTCACATATAACAGCTATCAAAGAAACTAAGGTGCTTTTAAGAAGGAAAAAATTATCTTTAGAAGGAAAGATGCTGTAACAACTAGCGAGGCATTCATCTTTTATCACAGTTCTTAATAAAATCCTGAAGTTAGGTCTCATAATGTAATTGTCTGTGCTGAATAAATATTATAATGAGTGGGGGCCCCCTGAAGGCAGGGACCATGGCTTCTATATAAAACTAAGTCTACAGCATAAAACACAGTGCCACTTC